GATGCCCACCTGCCTGCTGAATTGAGATGAAGGTCTCAGAGGCTCCTTTGCTTCACTCATGTTCAAATACCACGTCGATGACAAAGAGCCTCCCCAGAACAAAGTGACGAGCGTGGACGTTTCTCGCCAAATGTGGCCCAACCAACGTGCAGCCCATGGGGGTGCCGTGGGACCTGGCAGGAGGCATCACAGCCCACCCTCCTCGTCACACCCACACCTCCACTCAAAAGTGGCTTCAACCAGTGAGTCCCCAAACACACAAGCGCAGACATTTCACATCTCATCCGAGCCACTCCCAGAGATCCTACAATCAGTAAAGTGAAAAAACAACACAACGCTTCCAAGCTTCCAACTATTTCTTGGGCATAGAATCACAGAGTTATTAGGGTTGGAAAAGCCCTCTAAGATCCTCAAATCCAGCACCACCCTGTTCACCACTAAACTGCCCCCAGTGCCATATCCACGTGTTTTGAATGCTTCCAGGGACGGTGATTCCACCACTACCCCAGGGCAGCCTGTTCCAACACCTGACCAGCCTTTCAGCAAAGAAATTTGTTTGTTGACACCTTGTTCTCAACTCATGATCCCCACACAAGCCTTCCTGCATTGTGGCAACGTGTCTCCCCACATCCCCCTCCATGAACCGCCTACCTCCAAGATACTGATCCTCTTCCCAGTGTTTTTGACTCCAAACCATCTGATCCTGCTCAAACACATGGGGGCCCAGATTTTTGTGGAGAGCCAGAGAAAAGAAGCCCATCTCCATCGAAAATGTATACCTGTTCCCTCAACACCTTTATTATTAATTGCTATAAAACTTAATTTTATTCATCATTTGTTATGCCTCCAAATTGGATGGGAAAAAAAATTCAAATTAAGCAAAGTGAATAGATTTCAGAGATGGTATAGAAGGCTCCTGAAGGAACTGAAGAAAACTCTCCGGAGACTGGGAATGCAGTGCTAACCCAACCTGAAAGAAAGATCTTAAGACAAAGAAATCTTGCCAAATTGATCCTTTAATTATAACATTAGTCGTTTCTTTCAAAGGCTTAGTGCAAGAGCTGGGGGTGGGGGGCAGAAAAGACTTAAAGGGAGAAAAGACTTAACATCACCAGGATGAGTGGAAGCAATTAGGAGGATTTAAATTACTCTCGTTTGGTACAAGGCAGATGGATTTCATTTTTATTGCCATTGTGCTCGACTTCTTCCTCTGTGATCAGCTTCCAAAGGTCTCCTCCTTGGCTGGCCTGAGGATCCAGCCTTCCCAGGTCAGGCAGCATCCACTGTGCACCCACTCAGCTGTTGTTGAAGACCACAAATACCAGTGATTATAGCAGCTTTGTTACCCTGGAAAGGGGCTAGAAGTACAAGACTGGATAAGGGAATGGAGTCTACCAGCCCTTAACAAGAGGATGATGCTGCAATGAATGGAGGAGGGTGACTGCAAACCAGATCTGCAGAAGCTGGGGAAAAGGAGGTGGAAAAGAGTGAGAATGCAGCCTGTCTGGTATTGGGAACTCTGCATGAGTTCTCAGTGCTATTCCTCCAAGCATGACTTTTTTTTAACCTTCACTCTTTCACCCTCTTGCTCCCAGGGACAAGATAGACATAAACCATCTTCTTGCCAGGAGTGGCAGAGCAGGCAGGGTGTCTACAGTGGCTGGCAGAGGACCAGTGGTGAGCTGTGGTCACTTCTAGGGTGGCATTACTGCTGCTGGAAGCAGGCATGGGAGAGAGCACAGCTCTCATCATGTCTCTGCTGCCCTGGAGACACAGCCTGAACACACATATCCAAATTGTTTTACACGAGGAACAGCTGAGGAGAAAAAAAACCAAACCAAAACTCAGCAATTTCACAAAAAAAAGGAGAGGAAATCTTTGCAAATCTCCAGCATGGGGCATGTGCAACTTCTCAGGCCACAAGACAGCATCAGGTAATACTTGATATGAGTCTCAGCATCTTCCCAAGCTCCCAAATCCACCAGCTGCCACATGGCAGAAAACAGGGCATTTCAATGGATGCTCCATCCTTGCTCGCTCCCACTGACTCTCTTCTGCCAGGATTATTTCAGTAGCTTGTGTAGCTTTAAAAGCTGAGCAGTCACATCTCCTTGGGCTTCGTACCTGCTCTCAAAGAGGAACAGGGCCAAGTTTTTTTTTTCTTCTTTCCTGCTTTCAGTTAGAATTAATTGATCTGTAATTGCACCCATAGAGGGGGAAAGTTAATAGACACAGTAATAAATGCCAAAGCCACAGAAGAACTGGCTCTCCAAGCCCCTGCCTGGAGCAGCTCCATCTCCTCTTAATAGCGTCGCACGCAATTCCAGTGCATGTGTGCCTGTTAGTATTTAGGGAGAGAAATCGAGGAGCCTTGGTATGATGATTTCTTTTCCTCTCCCACATACTTTGTGCTTAAGGAGCAGATGGATCCAGGCTGTTTACATCACGGAGGTCATGCCTCAGCTTAACAGTTGGGGAACTGACTGTTGGGAGAGATGCTCATCGCAACCAGAAGATTGCTAAATCTGGGCTCCAGCAAGCTTCTGCTGGGCGCAAATTAAACATACAAATGTCCTCCTGCAGCCTCTTTGCATTCGGGTCCTACCCCGGATGTTTGACTGTTGCCCCAAAGAAAACCCCTGCCAAGATGAGGTGAGGGCAGAGGCAGCTCGGCAGCAGCTCCCGAGCGTGAGCTTGGAGAAGAAGTCTGCAAGTCCCGAGCAGACCTCGTTATTCACCGATGCAGGTGGAGCAGTTTGCAAGCAACACGGGTCCAGACCTCTGCAAGCAGGTTACCAGGGCTAAGCGCTCACCAGTGTGCCCCATGTTAACTGAGTGACCACGATTTCAGCCAGCTGGGAACAGCCTGTCTCCCTCCAAAGCAGTGCTGCAATGCCAGGGAAGGAATTCCTTCGAGTGGAGGTGTAGCTTACTCCCAAAGTGACCATCTCCTCTCAGCTCAGCCCAGCCGCAGGGCACACGGCGTATCCAGACCCTGCCTGTTCATCCAGCTCAGAGTTGGGCAATGGAAAGGTCACCCTTCCCCTCCTGCAGCAGAGCCAAGTGCTCTCTTCCAGCACAAGAGGATTGCGATAAGTGTTAAAAACAATAAAAACTAAGCAAACAGAGCAAGGAACAAAGCTCTTCTTGCTGTGCTCAAGAACATCCATTGTTTGCGTGCAGAAGTACCTTCTCCTGCTGGCAGCAGCTTCGGATGCTTCACCCCCACTGAGGTGCTGCATCCACGGAGCTGCAGAGGATGTGGCTGTGTCACACACGGTGGCTTTGCCATCGAGTGGCAGAGCCCAGCTCACCACCTCCGCTCACCTCACTCAGCCCTCTGGGAAGCTGAGCAGTCCTGCTTTTCCCTAGATATCTGGCACGCCACGAGAGCATCTCCATTGCCAATTAGGCCACCCACCCACTTGCATCCTTCCCCAATACAAACCCTATTAGCAATAAACAAACAGTCGAAATGCCAGCCAGTGCCTGGGAAGAGCCCTAGACAACTGCATCCAATTTGGCGGGTATGGAAACAGCTGCCTTGTGCAGGCCCGGTGCAGGAAAGCACCAAGACGGACCAGGGCATGGCCAGGCATCCCATGAGCCCCCCTCTGGTCCTCTGGCCAGTGTCTGGCTTGCAGGCCAGAGCAGTGCTGCCTTGCTGTGCCCCCAAGCTGCTCACCAGCACCAAAAGCTCCAGAGTCCACACAACACACTACACTGACACAATTCAACATTCTAACAAGGGGGCTTCCCAGCTACCTAGCCCTGAGCTTCCTAACTTTCCTTCTTTAGGCTTTTGCAGGAAAGCTCCTGCTTGACACTTACACCCAGTTGGACTTTGCTCAAACGCCCAAGCTGGATGTGACATAAGAAATACAAAAGCCATCCAACACTGCTTGGATATCTTCATCCCCCATAAGAATTCCCTCCCTGCAAGGCAATGTGAAGCCCTTCCTGTAGCCTGTCCCCAAAGCCCCGGGACTCAGACCCCAGAACAAGATTTGGAGAAATTCAACCCACCAACAGACTCTGAAGAAGCCCAAACTGCTGCTCCAGAAACTCCTGAAACCACCACCATCACACCTGAACTCACAAGACAGGGACAGAAATGACCAGGGCCATTCTCTACCTTGATTCCTTCATCCAAGGGCTTTCCACCTGGCCAAAACAGTGCTACAAAAGCTTTTGCTTTTTGGCATGGTGAGAAATTAGCTAAAAAGTTACCTGCTTCAGTAAGGGCAGAGGAGCCCACGCCCCCTTCCCAGTGCAGGAGAGGACATGCTCTCCCCATGTACCAACCCCTGCCAGCGGTTGAGGATGTGCTGATGCAACCACAGTTCATTGTCATGGAGACAAGACTTTTTCTCTCTAAACCCAGTTTAATGGCTTGGATTAAAACCGCCTTTCCCCTGGGAAGTGCAGAACAGGAACAGCTGCATTGTCCCCACGTCTCTGGCTTGTCCACACGCACCCCAGGCACTCCTTCTCTCACCAGTGTGCACCCCCCACCAGCACTGGGCACATCTCTCCTGGGCACAGCCTGCACAGCATGGAGGTGCCCTGCATCACTCTCCAGACCCACCCCAACCCATGCCCACCATATTCTATCAGCCAGCAAATCCACACCCCACTGCAAACCCATCCTGGACTCAAACGCATTTCCATAAGACTCCCCCCATGTCTCTCCCCTCTGGCAGGTCCCAGGCAGCCAGATCCCCACCAACCATCTATTACAGGTGATCGAAACCACGAGCTCTTCAGCCACACAAAACAGCAAGAAAGCATCATCAAGGCTGCCCCTTTCCCAGCTCCCAGGGAGAGAGAGCCAAGCATAACCAGGGAACAATCCCTTGCTGTGGGGCAGGCAGGCATAGGGGACATGGAGAGACCAGCTACTGGGGTCCTGGGGTCCTGGGCAGTACCAGGGGCCACCCTGGGGGCTCTGAAACATGCAATGGGCACAGCTCAGAGGAGAAGGACCACGTCTCACTTACCCTGACAGCACTCCCAGGACAAGGTTGAGGACAAAGAAGGATCCAATGATGATGAGGGGGATGAAGTACAGCCAGTTCCAGGTGGCTCCTAAGGCATCATTGGTCTGGAGGGGAAAGAAAAAACATGCGTGATGTTACCTTCAATAGCAGCAACATGTGGTGGTGATTCTCCTTCCGGGTTGACCACACTGGGCTCCTCAGGATAACGTGGCCATGCCTGTCAAGACTTGGTGGGCACCCTGCAGAGGAACTCCCCACTAGCAGAGGCCTGATGCCCCTTGGCATCCTGCCCCAGCCATACTCTCCCCAGTCTCCAGCCCTCATAGGCCAGGACCACTTTCCTCCACCTCGTCTGCCCACCCCTGCAAGGACATGCGATGTTAAGGCAATGGTATAGTCAGAAGTGTAGGGTCCTGCAGCCCAAAATCAGGGTGTTGAGGGCAAGAGGGCCACGCTGAGCATGTTTTCCCCAGCAGCTCGATTCAGTTGTCCCCTGCACATCCCACCAAGATGGGGCGAAGCAGCCCTGGAGCAGCTGTGCCTGCTGAGCACAGATTTATGAGGTGCCATAAGACCAGAGAAGCTGGTGTCTGAAGAAGGGGCAGACAATGTTTGTCCTTTAATGCACAGTGGGATACCTTCAAATGGGCATTCTGCTGCTGGCATCATTACTAATTCCTCACAGACACCCTCCCACCCTGGGTACCTTACCCCAAATCTGAGGAGCTGAGATCAGAGGGGAGCTCTGATCGCAGGGTACAGCCCGACGGCTATAAAGGCTCCTGACGAGCCCTGCTCAATACCTCCAGACATTAATTCACCGAGGGTTTTAATAAAGCAATGCCCCTGTGTCCCTGCTTCCCAGGCCCCATTTGTCCTCCGGTGTCAGGCACGGTGCACATGACGCCGGGCTGGAGGGTGATGCGGCAGAACGTGACTGTCTGGGGGAGGTGGTATCAATCTTGTTGCGATGAAAGACTCTTTCTCTTTTCTCTCTCTTCTCCCCTCCTCTCCCTGTGCTAATTAAGCCCTCATCTTCATCTGAGTCATTGGCACCACGTCTCCCGGTCAGCCAGTGCAGGAGCTGAGGCGAGGCTCTGCAAGAGGAGAAGCGCGTCTCCAAGGGGGAGAGAAAGCCACCGTGCTGGAGTCTTCCTCCAGTGACTGAGGCACCAGTGTGAACTTCAGCTGGGTGTCCCCAACACCCTGACATTGATTCCAACGAAGGACTGGTAACACCAGCATGCCTCAATGCACTGGGATGAGGATGCTGTAGGCAGAGACCTCAGTGACAAGGCTGGGGAAAGCACCTGGAAGGACTCACTGCCCTCCTCCTTTGGCACTGGGGAAACCACACACATCTTCCCAAGATCTTGCACTTTCCCAGTCCACCTCCAGTCCCTTTCTTCAGAGCAATGGGAGAAGTGATTGCAGGGAGGAAGGAATGATGCGCAGGAATCCCGTGCATTCCATGTTCATCACAGCCCTCAGACACTCAGGCCACTCTGCTCTGCTCTAACAGCACCACTGGCCATGGCATTAGTCTTCAAGGCACCGTGCAGCCCTCAGCCCAAGCTTGGCTGGGCTTCAGCTCCCTGCCAAGATGCCTCTGTGTACCTGCCACCCATGCTAGGATTGCTAGCATTTGAAACAGGCTCCTGCCTAAAAATCACAGGCTTTCCCAGAGGTCCTTGTTATGGGGAATGGAAAACAGATGAGCTCCTTTCCTATAGGAGAATGAGACAAGGAAAAGCTGAGGCAGGGGCTTGGCAGGATCCCAATGGGACAAGCTGTCTGCAATCCTGACCTCTATGTCCATTTGAGTACCCAGCTCCCACGGAGGTGGAGGTAAAGGGGATTAGAGAGATTTTTAAGGAGGTTTGGGAGGTTACATGTCCAGCACCACTAGCGGCCAGCAGCTCCAGGAGGGACACTTCTGAGGCAAAGGAGGGGATGGTCATGGACCCACACACTCAAGTACACACCACTGGCCACAGCCAGCTCAGGGAGGGTCCCAGCCACCCAGGCTGATGCCAACAGCCCCAGGAACAGCACTGCCCCCAGCAGCCTCCTGGCTGGTGCCAGCTTTGCTGGGATCCCCCACCCCAAAATAAAATTTCCCAGGGGACATCCCAATGCACTTTACAAACCCAGGAGCTGGCGATGCCCAGTCAGGATGCAGTGCCTCCAGACTGTCACCTGGTACCTGCTCAACCACTCTGACTGCCAAAAACTAAGTATCCCCACTGGAAGGCTCCTCAGGCAGATGCTCCAATGGCTGCTGTAATTCTCAGCCTAAATTTATTTGTGGTCATTTTATATACCACTCTATTCTTTTGCCAGTATTGGCCTTAGGCTGAAATAGCTCTTTTCCTTCCCGTTTCCCATCCTGATCTATTTATAGACAGCAATCATGGCCATCTCCAGCCTCTGCTTTGCTAGCCAAAGCAAGGTTCTTCCAGTTCTCTCTTGCATGACTGGCTCTCCTGCCCTATTTACCGAGTAGCCCCTTCCCTCCTCCTGTCCAGGCTCAGTCCATCTTCCCTGGACACAGAAGATCTGAGTGAGTAATTCAATGGGTCCCACTCCATCCCTCCATGATGCTACAGAGATTTTGCCATCCCGCCTTCAATCCTCTCTCCTCCTTCACGGCACTGCTGCCCTGTGGTCGCCTCATGGTCACCCTGATGTCACCCACACTCATCCTCTCCTCCTCCACACTGCTGCTTCCCAATCAGCAAGACCTAAGCTCCAAGGAGATATCTTTGCTGCTCCTCAACAAGCACATGGCTTTCCATTTCTCACTGCATCCCACATCTCTTCCTCCAGCCCTCAAATGCCTCCAGCCCAGAGTAGCAGTCTCCATCCCTCCACCTCCAGGAAGCCAGTCGATGCTGGAAGCAGGAAAGCCCATGACTCATCCCCAAGGACTCCACTCGTTGCTGACATCCTCTATATCCCCTCAACACCACTCAGGATCATCCCAGTACTACTTGCTTTCCTGCTCCTCATCCCCTTCCCCTCTTCTCTGCTTCATTAAGACTCTCCCATAGCAAAAGCTTTACTACAAAGAGCAGCTCTACAATGTTTCCAGGCCTCTGATGCCAGGTTAGCCCGGAGTGACCTACCTTTGGCAAACCCATGATTCATTTTCCTCTCCTGCCTTCCAAATCTGTTCCGAAATGGCATGCGATCGAGGTCAGGCTTACAGTCCTATTCCTGCCTGCCTTACTTTTCTTCCCCTCCTCCCCCCGCTTTTAAATATAGGCATCGCATTCGCTATTCTCCAGTCAGATGGTGCCTCCCCCAACTCGATGGAGTTGTTAAAAATACTTGTTACCAGACCTGCCATTTCATGTGCCAGCTCCCTCCAAGCATGGGGGGGAGGCCATCCCAAGGGCCTGGCTGATGGGTGCCATGGTCTCAGTGTTTGGTTTCCATGTTGGGCGTGCTCACGGACGTGTCCTCGTTCCCGCTATCCAGCCTTTTGTTGCTTTGTGTTGACCAAAAGCTGGGGTGAAATATCCATCCATGCCCAAATGTCCCCAGACATCATTTCACTGTGCCTTGCTTCCATCTGCAGAGGTGGGGAACCGCTCGCTGCTCCTTTGAGCATCCTCCATGAGGTCTTTGTCAACATGACCTTTGGTGGCTCTCACAGCATTTCCCAACTAATTTTAGCACCAAGATGTAGTTGTCTTGACTGAGCAGCCCCTTTTCCTGTTCCTTTGGAGCATCATTTGCTCTTAATATCCCTCTGTAGGCAGTGGTTCATCACTTTGGTCCACTGTGCCTTCCCATAGTTTTTTTTCCCCCTTTGCTGAAGGTACCAGGAGGTCGTCATGTGCAGAATTCAGGGTAGACACAGGGAGTTTAATCCCCAAATTACGCCAATGCTGTAACTCCTTTAATGAAGAAACTCCTGGTTCCTCCCCAGCTCTCAGTGCAGCAGGCCAAGTCCCAACACTCACCCAAGCTCTTTGGGAAATGTAGGAGCTGCCTGATCTTTGCTGCTTCTTCCCTTCCCTTTAAGATGACCACCTTCTCATTATGCACCCCACCAGCCTAAACCACCACCTCTCAAACTCTCCCATGGCCACCAGACTAAAAAACATTTTCTGCTGCCTCCAGGCACACCTCAGACAACAACACAACCAGCATGAGCTTGTCACAGCTTCTTCCCCAAGGGACCACACACCCAAGGGTATTTCCCATACCAAGGCTTTGGTGGAGACTCCCAGCCTGAGCTGAACCACCACACTCACATCTTGGCACAACCAATTCTGCTGCCAGCAAAACCCTCTGAGCCTATAAATGACACCACCAGGGTGTGGGAGCAGGATCCTCACGAGGGAACAGAGCCAGCACAGTGGACACCAACCCAGAGCAGGAACCCCCACCAACCTCTGCTTCTCAACCCCCAAGCACCAGCTTATTCTTTAGGCAGCTCTTGTGTTGTGGTGGGTTTTTGGTGGGTTTTTTTGTTTTTTTTCCAAAGGGCAGGAAAAGGCACAGGGAGCTGCAAAAGCAGGTCTCACTCGGGGGGCCAGAAATCTAAAGAAATCTAAATATATACTCAAGTCGAATGCAAAGCACAAGCGCGCAGCCCACACGTACCCTCCCTCGGGCTGCGGCGCATGGGAAACTTCAGGATTTCTTTGCTACAGGGGAAGGGGAGGGGAAAAAAAACCACCTCAATAAACCCCTCAGTCTCTCCTAGCTAAAAATAAACAGAGAGCACGTACTGTCTGTGCAGGGTGCCTTAGTGGCCACTCATTGCTCACCAGCGCAGGGAGGGGAACTGGGGCCCGAGGGTCTGGGCTCCCAGCTCATCTGGGGAGCAGCAGGACACAGGGAGTCGCTGGATTTCATTCACACAGAGATTACAGAATCCTAGAACATTCTGGGCTGGAAGGAACATTAAAGACCACTCAGTTCCAACCCCTCTGCCGTGGGCAAGGACACCTTCCACTATCCCAGGTTGCTCAGAGCCCCATCCAACCTGGCCTTGAGCACTTCCAGCCACAGCTTCTCTGATCAACCTGTGCCAGGGCCTCAGCACCCTCACAGGGAAGAATTTCTTTCTGATATATAATGTAAATCT